CTCCACTCGTGTGTGGGGGTACTTTTGCTCATTCCAACAACTGAGAAACACCTTAGAGAGTGTCAAGAAGAGTAAGGTCCTAGTGAGATGATTGAGATTTGAGAATTCCAAAGAGAGCCCTCATTAGTGAGATCAAGAGTAGCAAAGTGTGCATCCACCCTTCTCATTAGGCTTGTCGTGGTCAAGTGAGAGTTTATGCTTGTTACTCTTGGTGATCGCCATCACCTAGACGGCTTGGTGGTGATTGGGAGCTTGGTGATCATCCGGAGAGCTTGTGGATGGCCCAACTCAAGTTGTGAGCGGTTGTGGGTGATTCACCGCGACGGAGTGTCGAAGAATCAACCTGTAGAGAGCACTTGATCCTTGCACGGATCAAGGGGGAGCTACACCCTTGCGCGGGTGCTCCAACGAGGACTAGTGGGGTGTGGCGACTCTCTGATACCTCGGCAAAACATCACCGCGTTCCTCCTTCTCTATTTACTTTGAGCATTTACTTTGAGCAATTCAATTCCTGTCTTTACATTCATAGAATTGCCATGCTAGAGTAGGATTATAACTTAGATTGTAAGTCTTTTGTGCGGTAGAACAATTAGAAACACTTTCTAGGCACAAGGGGTTAATTGGGCTAACCGTATGACTTAATTATTGCAAAGAAATTTAGAATTAGCCCAATTCACCCCCTCTCTTGGACATCTTGATCCTTTCAAGATGGATTTGAACAAGAGCGAGCCCCTCCCACGCCCCGGCGGCGGCCGCCCGGTCGCCGTCGGCCACATCCCCCTCGACAACGGTCTCTCGGTCGTTATTGGCCCCCACCCAGCTTGCCACCCATACCCCCACGGAGTTGGCAGCGGAGTCCCTACCCATCCGAACCCCACCCTGCTCGACTGAAGAAGCTGAAGAAGTGGAGCTCGTGGACTGGGCAGATGTAGACGACATTGAAGACGAGCCTCAACCCACCATTGATGAGGAGGAAGCTAAAAAGCCTACTGATCTCACCACGAAGATTAACCCGATGACCTCTGCTCTGCTTCCGGGGCATCATCGGTCTCTATGGCAGGCTCCGTCGGATCTAGTGATGCCAAGAGGGAGGCGGCCTCGATCCACCCACTCCAAGCTAGATCGACGAAGGATGCCTCGATTCGCCCGCTCCACGCCGAATTTAATGACGGTACGCCACCAGCCACCTCGATCCACCCTCCTCCACACCCCGAGGGTCCTGCCATGCCTGAGCAGCCCCGAGCTGCTACATAGCTCAAGCTAAAATCGGTCCTGGTGCTGTCTGACCGGGAGCCACCGTCACCCCTCTGTCATCGCAAGCCGGTTTGGCGCCGGCTAGACTTGGCGCACTCCACCAATTTGGGATCCTCCTTGAATGCGGCGTCCCACTCCAAGCGATCGTCCATCCCAACAAGAAGGCAAACTTGATGATATTCCATATAATGTTCAAATCAAGACCAAAATTGTGTATCGTTGTGTTGGAAGATCACAGAAACAATATAGTTCAAGAGAAAGACAATAATGCAAATGGAGTTGATGAAATGGCTTCTATGTTGAGGAATATCATAGTATCATGAGAAAGCAAACATATTTGGCAAATGTTAAAAGAGACATGAGTTGATGATTTTGGATTGGTCTCAATAAGGGCTTGCTTTGCATGAACAAGAAGAGTTTGATAGTGGATTGGCTTTGATCAAGGATTGAAGAATGAGTCAAGAATGCATAAGTGAAGAAATACCAAGCAAAGGTTTAAATGACAAAGGACACAACTCATATTGGATATAAGTCGGTCTATATGTTGGTTTGTTTGTATGGATAAAGATTTGGAAAATCACTTTGCATTGCTTTGATCAAGCTAGAAGTATGAGGATAGATATTGAAGTGAGTATTAGGAGTGTCAAGCCAAAATGAAGAGGATATAAGGAATCGTGAATTGGATTGACCATATTGATGTTGATTCATATATATCTTTATGTGAATCAAACTAAAGCTTGATTGATCTCAACATTCATATCTAGAAGATATTCAAGAAAGGATCATACTATTGAATAAATGGTGTTTCAATGGATACTTAATATGATATGACTTGAGTATGACTTGATAAGGTGAAGATAGCAAGAAAAGGGTTTTGAGGGACTAAGCAAAGGTAAAGGGCAAGCGATTGCTTGAGGACCGAGGTACTATAGCTAAGGTGAAGAAGAGAGTACTTGCATTGAGTCGATGAACTAATCAAGCTATGAGGAGTCATATTATGTTGATGATCAAATTATTAGTGAAAGTGACTTGAAGCCATTGAGGTAAACTCATATGTATGGAAATGGTTCAAGTCACATGCTCAAGGTGTGTTTGCTCGAATAGATGAGATAAAGATGATTGCAAACGCTTATGAAGTGATATTGAGAAGAAATGGCATATGAAGACATTCAAGACTCAAGTGGTTAAAATGGTTCAAGTCACATGTTTAAGGCATAATGGGAATGAGGACAATATATTCATTGGTGGAGCCCCCTATTATATAAAGGATGCGGTGACCAACTCAAAGGTGTTTAAATTCTTTGATATTTTGAATTTGAGTATAAAAAAGCCATACTATAAAGAGGGACACAATGCTTAAGCTAACATGTGCTATCAAGTGCTCAAACTTACACATACATCCTCAAATTCACAGTCAAGACAGCCAACACTTCACTCTTACCCTTGTTGTCTTGCCTGGTGCGGCACTACCGCACCTGAAGAGAGGCATTGCCACAGTGCGGCACTACCACACTTGAGCCACGACACTGCCGCGACTTAAGTGACCGTTGGGGCTAAGGGGTATTTATACATTTTCCCTTCCTCCCCAATGTCTCTCTAGAGCACTCCACTCATTCAGCTCGTCCAAGAACAGAAGAGAGCAACTCTCTCTCTCTCCTCACTCACCATTGGAGTCCCTCAAGCTTCTCTCTTTGATTCCCTTCCAAATCCAAGAGAGTTTGAGCCTCCAAACTGCATTAGAGAGCGGCCCCAACTGTTCTTCATTGCATAGAGCACTTGATTCACGTTTTGATCGTCGGTTGTGTTTATTACTCTTGTAGCTTTGCTCCTAGCCGGCTAGAGCATTGCCCGTGGAGCTTGCCAACTTGTGTGGCAGCCCCGAGAGGTTTGTAATCACCCTAATCATCTAGTGAAATCATCCCTCATCTTAAGAGTTCATTTTCTTGACTTGAGAATGAGGATAAGGTTGAAAGAGACCAAAGCCTTTGTGGCAACCTCAATAACCTGGACATAGGCAAGCCTTAGTGGCAAGCTGAACCACGGGATAAATCGGTGTCTCGCTTGTGTTCTTGTGATTTGCATTGCTATACTTGTATTTGTGGTGATTCTAGGGTTTGGTCCCGATCTACTTGTTCGTGCACTTCCGTCAACATCCAGGTGGTGGAATAGGCTCTACACTACCTCAGGAACATCAGTAATTTGCTCGATCTACTTTTCCTTGGGCAGATTTTGAATTGTAGTTCGAGCTTGTCTGCAGGCGCGGCAGTGCCGCACTTTTGTGAGGCAGTGCCGCACCTAGAACTTAACTTCCGCTGCGAGTTTGTTTTAAATAGACCTATTCACCCTCCCCCTCTAGGCGACATCAAGGTCCTTTCAGGAATGGTTCTACCGACTGACCAATGCATGTACCAAAAGAGCGCATACACTAGCAATTCTTACAGTTTGGTGTATTTAGAAGCAGCGAAATGTCGTGGTGTTTAGGGAATCAAAACAATCCGTGCAGGCAATATTCACAGAGATCAAGGATACATGCTCCTTCTGGATTGCTGCAGGGGGGAAGGTTTTAGCATTTCCTGGTAGCTCAGTAGTTAGCGAGTAGTCAGCTTTGTTTCTCGACCTACACAGTGCCACTGTGATAGGTTGCGCCCCTTGCGCATGTAATTGACGTTATTAATGCTTCTCCCTTCTTATTAATATAATGTTGGGCGACCGGACCTTTCAAAAAAAAACTTCTCTTTAGTAATTTTCTTGCCAAGTGTGTTGTTGATTATGATCATGCTTGCTATTTGTATCATTTGCTCCAGTTAGATAGTTTATAATAAAGTTGCATGCATTAGTTCTTTGTTACATACTTACATACGATGGGGATTGATGTTCTAATAAGCTAATCCTTGCAAATATATTGCTTATTGTAAAGTTCGGACAACACTTTTATTTGAACTATTGTTAAGCGGCAATTTTGTTATATACACACAGTTGTTTGATGAAACGCATGCGAGTGTTTTGCCCATAGAGTCATATGGCATCTATGGGCACATGATCTGGTCATCGTACTGTTGAGATACGGGAAAAATTAGTGGGAGTAATCCTCACAATCACAAACCAACTGTGGGTATTTGCTGTGAATTTATGACACGTGTCTATGTACAATCATCCAACATTGTCAAAAACACTTTATACATAGGTGGGGTATCGTTACGGTCTTATACAGACGATGTAGAAAACCTTCATAGTTGCATCACCTAACTATGCAAGTATCTAGGAGTAGAAAATCCATAGGATTAAGGATTCTCAGACCTTCTATGGCCCCATAGCCCATGGTATGGCATCTCTCTCAAGGATCAACTTCATATAGTAGCAATTGCTTCCCCTCAATGTTCAGATGGTGGCTGCTGCATCATCGTCAGCAGCGGTCAGCAGAGCTCTAGAACTAGAATGCGTGGCTGCATACTTTTTCCAAGAAAGACTTATTCATTTCATGCTCGTTCCTCGTCCGAGCATTCGACTCGGAGCCCATAGACTGTGGGCGCCCACAATATTTGGGAGAAACCGGTGCGGGCTGCGTGGTGCGGCGACGAACACGAGCCCACGGTCTTGGCCGGCCCACTTCACCTGGTTCCTCTATTTTTACAGTTCACACGCGCGAGACTCCCCGCCTCCCCTGTCGCTCTCCCGCTGTACTGCAGACCGGCAAACTTCGGCCAAGACGTCGAAGACGAAGAGCCCGGGGAAACGATCGAGACGACATGTGCGGGGGAGCGATCCTTGCCGGACTCGTCCCCGCGCGGGTGCACCGGCCGCTGACGACCGCCACGCTCTGGGCGGCGGTCCTGAGCTGGACCACCACCGGCGGCAAGCGGAAGGCCGATGCTGCTGCCGTGACCGACGACGACGACTTCGAGGAGTTCGAGGCCGAGTTCCAGCTTTTCGACGACGCCGAGTTCCAGCTTCTGGACGACCAGGAGCCGTCTCCCGCAGCCGCAGCTTCGCTTGAGGCCGGCGGCTGCAACTGCAAGCGGAAGGCTGCCGTTGCTCCTCCTGCTGGTACGATCAGTCAGACCACCACCACACTCCAACATGGAGCGCGCGCTTTCCTAGCTATTTTCCAACCGAGCATCACACGCGCTCGCGGTTTTCAGGTGCCTCCGCTTCCACGGGTCCGACGACCCCACGCTACAAGAAGTACAGGGGCGTCCGGTGCCGCAGGTCAGGCAGGTGGGCCGCGGAGATCAGGGACCCGCGGCAGGGGCGTCGCGCCTGGCTCGGCACGTACCGCACCGCCGAGGAGGCCGCCCTGGCGTACGACCGAGAGGCCCGCCGGATCCGCGGGAAGAGCGCGCGGCTCAACTTCCCGCTCATCCCGCAAGAGGGTCCCAGCCGCCACGCGCGCACGCCGGTGCCCATCGATCTCAACTTGCCGCCCGCCTCCGACGATCTCGACGCCCCGGCTCCGGCTGTTGACGACGACGGCACGACGGGTGCTGACGGAGATGCAGGTAATATCTCGTGACAGCATCCATGCTAGCTTACCACATGAGCAAACAAGGCGCTACCACTAAGCTACGTGTTCACTGATACGGTGGCGTGCGTCGTCGTTGCTACATCTACATGCATGTCTTGGCAGATATGGCAGGTACTGAGAGCACGCTAGCGCGGGTCAGGGAACTGATCGCGCGGGGACGACCTCACGACGAGCGGCTGGCGAGGATCGTGCCCGAGCTGATGATGATGCACGGGAGCAGGGGCGAGGCTACAGCGGCCGGGGCGTCACGGTGTGCGGCGTTGATCGCCGAATTCAGCCGTCAGATGGAGGAGATTGCCGCCTTGCGGAGGGACCTTGAGACACGCGAGAGGCAGCTTGTTGAGCTGGTTTATCACTCACTCCGATGATGTCTCAGCTCCATCCTCGTGCTGAAATGCTGGTGTTTGAAGACTTATTATTTGATTCCAGTGTCGTAGGATTATACATAGCTGAATGATGACTGAAGTTTGAACAATGTGTTTGTGAGAGATGAGCACTGGAACAGTTACCTACTCTTACAGTTACAGCTATGTTTGCGGCTTATTTCTTGAGTTTTTTTTTCTGGGAAGCTGGCTCCTAGAGAATCTGTTGGCTAATGGCTAGAGAATCTGAGTCTTTTTCTTTAGAAAACGGAAAAATTCCGCGACCGCATACAGCTAAGTATTACGATGTTGTCGGCTTACTTGCTGCCAAAGATAAAGAGAATAGTGTACTCGAATAGGAGAAAATCATAAGCAAAGTTTATTATTATTTTGCCATCCATTTTTGGCAAACACATCTAGAGCGATAACCTCCGATGCTTTGTTTGCACATCGAAACGTCTCCCTTTTATCTTCACGCTATAGGAGCGCCCAAAATCGCAACCAATATGCTCCTCTGAAAATAGCCTGGATAAAAGAAACATTTTGTTTTTTCTCAAAAATAATGTCATTCCTAGTACACCAGATCGCTCAAATAATAGTAGCAGCTCCCATAAAAATATGCTTTTTATCCTCCCTCCCCATGCCCGTGAGCCAGCCTCCGAGTTTGGCAATACTGATTTTCTATAAGAAGGTTGTCTGTTCTGAGTGTGAAAGTCATATTGCATATTTGGTCTACTTTTTTTGCATTTAGTTTAATAGCTTAGCTCTATCATTTTTCCTTTTTAGATTATAATAAAATCCAGAATGATTAGCTCTTCATGCAATATTAAAAAATGTACATCTTGCGGTCAATAATTCACATTCCAAATAAAAAAGAGTATGTCAGTGTCAATAAAAACAATCATGGCTATCTACATCTTGCAGTTGCACATATGCACAAAATATATAAGGGGTCAAGTTACTACCAAATTGACGAAGAACCAAACATATTAAAGAAAATACTTGTATCACAATATACAAGATCAGAAAATTAAGTTGGCAGCACCTAAAAAATATAGTACAAAAACACATAAAAAGATATAATACAAATTCACATATGTTTGTTCGAGAGAAAAAAAAACAAATTCGCATATGTCAATAGCTTCATACAATGCAAGATGCTAGAACTGAAAAAGATCATACCCATTTATGCTCTTCCCATCGATCATCACCAGCAATAGTACAATTATTACTTGTAGGATCGCTGTCTAGGCCAAATGCATTTCTAGGCCAAATGCATTATCGTATCTCAAGGTGTTCTATCTATTTTTGAAATGCAAGCAACAATAGTCCTCTTTTATGTCCTTCGCAAAAAAAAAAGGTCCTCTTTTTTATGCGTGCACTGAATTTGGCCTAGAGGTTAGTGAATCGAACTCTGTTAAGATATCTCTTGGATGTAATATTACAAGTTGTTACTTCTTTCCGAACAATATCTATGAAAAAAATTATCCTGCGTTGCATCCCACACTGCTATGAATTTTTGTAAAAAAATATTTCTATATTTTTTATAAAGTCTAATTGACTCGTTGTAGGACAGCTGATGTGGCGTCATGTCAGCTAAAACCACTAAAAGACCCGCTCACGAAGATAAATCGGACGGTTTTATAATTTATACTATGAATTAAAAAATGTATGTCACTTGAAACCATCTTACCTACCTTAGATCTCTTCACTTAGAGCCTCTTTGGCAGGGCTCTGCATGGGCTTCAGCTCCAGCTCCAGCTCTGGCTCCTGCAGGAGCTGTGTCAAACGCCTGTTTTGAAAAGGGCACCACATGGGGAGCCGGTCAAGAGCCGAAGCCATTTTTTGCCTGCGCAAGAGAAGCCTAAAAAACGAGCTTCGCGCGGCTCCTTGCTGTGGGTTCACGTCGTCTAGTGCGAAGGAGCCGTTTTACCAAACGTTTTCCAAAACGGCTTCAGCTTCTCCAGAGAAGCTACTTTTTCAGAGGAGTGAGAGCCGGAGCCATTTTCAGAATATCCAGATGGTGCCAAACAGGCCCTACGTCTAACGCATCTGATTAACCGTTAACTGTGGGCCCGAAAAGTTTCATGACATCCTGACATATAAAGCGCGTGTTTCCTGGAGAAACCATCGACACCGATCCAGAGTTTTTTCGCCGAAACCTTTCTTACCCGCCCGCAGGTACCCGCATCCTCGCGACACTGCCAAACGCCGCGCCTCCTCACTCCTGCCCGCGACAGCTTCACCGTCTGCACCTCCACCCACGACACCGCCAACCGCCGCGATTCGACAAAGTAGTGCGCCGCGCGGCCTCCCTCGGTCTTCTCGCTGGACGCTTTCCGGCGCCGCGGCCTCGTCGCCCCCCGCGCCCCTGGAACCTCCGCACCCGCCGCTCGCGTCGAGATCGGACGCCGCGGGGAAGGCGCCCGCGTCGTCGGGTGGAGGGCACCCGCCGCAGCCGCTCACGTCATCGCCGCCGCCGCCGCCGCCGGCCCTGCCCAGGAAGAGGGCCTTCTCCGCCGCGCTCACCAGGGATGAGATCCTTCTACTCCTCCACCATCTCCGCGCCTGCCGCGGCCGGCCGGGTTCTTCCCCTATGCTCCTCCTTCCAATCTGCATCGCCCATCTCTCATCTACGTGGTCCTGACGACAACGACGGCGCTGGTTCACGGCACCAGCCGCTCGCAACGAACAGGGTATGCGCCGCCTGCGATCCGCCTGCCCCTCTTCCTTTCTCTCGCTCATTATCGCTCGCGCTTCCGATCCCATCAACTAATGCACGTCTCTGGTCCCTAAAGCGATTGATTTTTTTTCCATGGATGGGTGGTAGTAATCTGGTGCCAGATTAATATTATATTTGTAATATAGACTGAGGTCCTAGATGGAGTATGTGATTTCTGCTGCCTTTCCTCTCCCATGCCTCCCTTGATTTTGATCTCTGAACCCCTGCGCTGTAGCTTTTTATGGATCCATGGTAGTGATTTGTTGCCAAATTTAATAGTATCTGTTATTGGCACCCCAGGAAATCACTAATGTCTGCCCTACAGATGTTAGAGGGTGCTTGACTTTGCCCATCTGCTTCATCTAGGTTCGGTCAGATTATATGTAAAATAATAAATTGATAGAATGGCCAATAAGCCTATAAATGCAAGGCCTATTTGATCCATTTTGACATCAAGTCGAATTAATCAGAACTGTAAAGTAGGCAACACGTTGCTTTTGATGCATTCTAGATGGGATGTTCAGTTATGGCACTTGGCACATATCAAAAGTTACATCCATAGGCAATTGAGTTTGCTACTGCATGTATTTGTGTTTGTGTGTACTTGTGTAAATTCAATCACAGGAGTATTGACATTTATGCTTGAACATCTTAGTGGGCAGCTTGTTAAATGTGGTGACTTCAGATAAGTTGCTATACAAACTGGTGAGCAGTCTCATAAAGTACAAGATGTTGCTACTTTCGCTACATAGCAGGTAATAATATGATCATTTTCTATTTATTCCTAAATAATGACCGTTTTCTTTTTACTACTTATTTGGATAGGCAGGCATATTCCCTTTAATAGCTGTGTTTATTAGAACCATAAGCCAAAAAAAAAGTGCATTCAAATCCTCAAATAAGACTAATAATTAGCAATTAGCAATATTTTAAAAGACATGCACGCACCTGTGGCACGTTTCTAGCTATTTACAGTGGAATTCTATGTGCAACTAATTGTTCAAGATTACAATATGATTATTTACCATGCCCTACCGAATTATTGATGATGTCAATAAATACGGTTTTTTTTTTTTTTACTTTGTTCATAGATTGATGATGTGCTTGCTTATCTCTCTGCCTCTTTTTTCTGTACGTTGCCACATGCCACCAAATTCATGCATGTTTTTTTTTCTGTAGGTTGCCACATGCCACCAGATTCATGTATGTAGTGGATAGTTACTAATGTGTTTTTTTTTTGAGACAGATAGTTACTAATGTTGTATTCTGTTTTGCAATATAGATTTGTGGAAGGGTGTTAGGAATTTTATTAGCGCCGATTACTCAGCCGGTATGTCACTTTATTCATGTGAAGTCTAGAATACAATTCAACAGCTGATTTGATATGGTAACTAATAGTTTTGGCACGACTGGATGGAGATACCCTACAGTTTTTCAGTCTTATCAATATTAAAACAATCAAGAATACATGTTCTTCATTGCTTTATTCTGAATTTTAGCCACCCTAAGAAGTTAATCTTGTTTTCTGCATGCCAAGGGAGAGGGGGTAGGGGACGGAGATGAACAGCATTTCATTTTGTTTTAAGAATGCTTTTCAATTTAATTATGAAAGAACTTTAGATGTTTGAGAGTATTATATCTTTTTAAGAACAATAATTCAAAATGGTAGGAGTTCATTTATACTGAATTGCTAAGACTGCCAGGTTCAGATCTTGTTTTGGGGCCTTTGTAGGATACAACCATATACATTCATGCCTTTTGATTTTTTACTAGCTATTTTTGACTGGTATTTCCTCTTGAAAGATTGCTTTGGACAGTTACATAATTTTTGTTGCCCCTTTTCACAAACATAACTAATCCTTTTCACATGTCAATTATTAACTTTAGATTGTGTGGTGCTGTCACTTGATCTGTTCCTGTAAAGCAGGCTGTCATTTTATTCTGTTTGTTATTTTTTTAATCTAATTTCTAAATGTGTTTATATGAATTGTTATCCCCAGTAAGTGAGCTTTGGAGGTTTTTGCAATTGCTCACATCATGGTATGAACCTGAGAAGGGCGGGTCTGGTGTAAGCGGTAGAGTCTTACCGGTAGAGTCTTACCGCCTGTGACCGGAAGGTCCCGGGTTCGAGTCGCGGTCTCCTCGCATTGCACAGGCGAGGGTAAGGCTTGCCACTGACACCCTTCCCTAGACCCCGCACATAGCGGGAGCTCTCTGCATTGGGTACGCCCCTTTTTTTTCTCTTACATTATCATCAGGTATCCAACCTTATTCTTGGATTTTTATCCCTAAGTTTATATCAGAGGCGCTGCTTTCCCATAGTAACAAATATTGGCCTTTTTATGTACAAGGGAACTTCATGTTAGGATGTAATAACTAAGAACATAGCAAATGCAACAATGGGCCTATGAAAAATAAACTTGTGGGACTGCTAAAATTATTTTTTTTTAAAAAATACTGGCTGGCTGTGGTTCACATAACGCCTTTTTTTTGTACTTGGTAACATTATTATGGTACCAGGAGATCAGCCAACATCAAATTAAATCCATTATTTTATATCTATTATTCTGCCCTTGTAATGACAAAGACCTTTAGTGGTTATTATTGTAGAAGCTTCTGCGGCCTGGCTGCTAGCTGCCTCCGCATGTGTGCGTGCTACACAGCTACAGGACTATGTTGCTACTAGATTGCAGGCTCCTAAGCTGTGTGAGAATGAAGCTGGGTACAATACTTTATGTTAAAAAACTTGTACAAAGTGGTATTATTATCATCTTGTCTCGTGTTATATTGCAAAAAGTGTACTATGCTGGAAGTTTTCATCAAGTATAAAATTCTCTTGTGTCCTGCCGCATTAGAAAAATGATTCTTTTTGTATGGCATTATGATTATACTACAAAGTGGTGCTTTATGCCCTTTGTCTTATGTGTGACATGCTTTTTGTGTTGAAGAAAATTTATCTAAATCTTTTATGTGGGTGGAGGTATAAATTAATGGTAATTCTTGCTTATGATCAGGGTCCATGACTCATGAAGAACAATTGATCTTTTTTATGCCTAACAAGATGCTAACATTATCAGTGCTGAATAGGTCATCATTGTGGCATCCAGCAAGATCCACATGCACCAGAAGCTAAGGAAGATGCCTGATGAAGTCCTAGCAATGTGAACTGTCGTTTTGTTTGATATATTAGGAATTTAGTTTGATTTCTACCTTCAACATATGTAATCTTCTTGTTGATTAGTTGCCTTGCGTCTGTTATGAATCATGATATGTACTGAATTATGGGTGTATGTGTTGTCATGCCAGCCTGACCATGTGTTTGTATTGTGAAAAAATTATATTTTATATATATAAGAGTTGGCTTCTCAACACTATTATTCATTCATTACAATATATAACGCTTGTGAATAAATTAGTGCGAACTTTAGTATGTATTTAATAACAACCGGATAGGTTGTACAATATTATTGCAAAAGCTCAATTATATTTTTAATACTAGAAATTTTTATTATAAAATATAAATGTTTTTAGCACGTGCGCATATCTACTAGAATAATTGGAACGACGATGTTTATGATTGGAAAAGATTTTATCCAGGCTATGTTCCTAAAACAACAGACATGTAAGTCTATTCTAAAAGATAAATAATAGTACAAAATATTTTACAATTAACAACTCAAAATTCCTTACATGTTACTAACCTATATCATGTGTACAGGAAATCAACGGGATATTTGATACTAAACTTCATGCAAGAGTGGAATGGTCAAGGATTTCAAACAAAGATCTGCATGGTAAGCAAGTATATAATGCCAACAAAATATTATTGTTGTTTTACTCAAAAATATTTATGATATCAATTTATTAACAGGATTCAGAAATACTAAGGATGAAGTTCCTCATCGATATCCTCAAATACGAATGGAATGAATGCACAGAGAACATCGAAGGATATATTAGAGATTTACTTGAGATGTTGACATAAGCAATAAAAAAAATGCCATTCGTATTTGCTGTTTGACAGCTCTATTGAACTCGGCCAATGTCGGAAAATGCAAGCATAGTGACCTTTTATAAAAGACAGCTATTTATAGTAATATATTATTGTGTTTAGGTACGAATTAAAATGTGAAACAAGAGCATCTTGACTACAGCTACCAAAAACCTAGCTGTGCCACTCAGTAGGTTCTGCCGCTCAGTAATGGGTACTACGCAGTCAGGCTACACGAGATTCAGATGATGGAATGGAACCTGCAGAGCAGCAACCAAACTGAAACCATACACCCAATGCCGCAGCAAAGCGAAATCCGGAGCTCCTGGCCCAAACAAATCCAGGGCGGCCATAGAAGGAAGCCGCGCAGCAAACAAGAAACATGAGAAGGACATAAGGGAAGGCAGAAATGCGATCAGAGACAAGGCAAGATTCAGTGTATCGCCCACCATCATTCGCGTCGGTGACCTTGGCGACCAAGATTTGCCACAGGGTCCAAGCGACGAAGCACATGAGGACGAGCAGCCAAGCGGCCCAGGCCGCCCTCGCCATTGCTCCCCCACCAAGCCTCCTCCCTCTTCCTCAGGTCATCTCTAAAAATGGTAACAACAGACTGTGATTTTTGAAAAACACGACTGAATCCCTGATTTTTGACAAAAAAAAATTCAAACAATGTTTTGCCTGTGATTTCAAACGGTTTCATTGACATTTAACTGAAATTACCTGAACTAACCATGAAATAGAGCGCGACAACGAGATGCGAGCTGCTGGAGCCACCACTGGACTCGCCGGTAGGAGACATAACCGCCCTTGTCAACTCCCAGCCGAGAAGGAGGTCCAACCCTGGCGGACTCCGGACGGCGCGGCCAGCAACGACAACCTGCCCGGCGGCAAGGCCCTGCACCGACGACAAGCAGGCATCGCGTCCCAGACCCGGCGGCCAGCAGGCAGCGCGGACATACCAGTCGCAGCACTGCCTCGGCGTCCTGCGGGCGGATCCAACAGCTCCGGTAGCAAGCCCTGGGCGGCACAGACAGCCCCGACGAAGGTGCTCTGCCCGGCAATCATTCCGGGGAGAATTCACTGTATGCCATTAAAAGAAGACCGCAACAGCCCGTGCGTGCTTAAAAAAAGTTCACGGTCGTCACTGCTCTAACTTTTTCGTATACTCTATACCACTTTCGTTAGTTTGGACTTTAACATCGTTAAACTGTAAAAGTAAAAAAACGAAAATACCCTTAAGTCTAAATATATTATTAATTTTTTGAGCATCTTAACCACTTCAAATGAAAAAACTCAAAACTAGAAAGTGGTAGATCTCGTCAAGATCTATAATTTTTATATAAAAATTATTTATATTTAATTCACAAAATAAATATGATTTTCATATATTTTTTATGGAATTAAATGAAAATAATTTTTATATAAAAATTATAGATCTCGACGAGATCTACAACTTTCTAGTTTTAAGTTTTTTCATTTAAAGTCGTTAAGATGCTCAAAAAAATTAATAACATATTTAGACCTAAGGGCATTTTTGTCTTTTCACAACTACACTTTGATGGTGTTAGAATCCAAACTGACGGAAGTGGCACGAAGGACATAAAAAAGTTAAAGTAGTGACGCTAAAGATGGCTGAACTTTTTCCAGAGACACGTAACATTGTGATCTTTTTTTTTTAATGACACACAGGCCCCATCATTCTAACCCGGCATCTACGGCAAGAAACCATGGTGGGTTGGAGGATTCGAGCTGGGCGGAGTACAGGAAAATGTCGACGAGGGGAGCTGGAGAGAAATGGGGAATACAGTGATTGGAATGCGCCACTAAAGACAAATTGGATGACGAAAGGAACAATTCTGGACAACTGGGCCTTGACATCGTTAGCCTGCTAGCTGGTACCAGTTGGTCTGTGGGCTTTTGGGCCAATTAAAATTAAAAAATAAAAGTCCCGTTCAGCTATGGATGAGCAGCGGCTGCATCAGATGCGCAACAGTTCCCAGCTGAAACAATTTCAGCACAAGCAAATCTATAGATCAATTGATGAACAAAAAACTAACGGCTTCCACTAAAAAATATATACACTAACGGCCAGGACAGTAGAACTGGGGAAAAAATCATAAAGGAATAAAAAAACCTGAACGATATGGAATGTTTCAAAAAAAATACATACAAATAGAAACAAAAAAATTTAAGACACGTGCGTGCCGCAACGTGCATGTTAACTAGTAGTTTTCTAATTGAAGGAGGTAAATCGAACTTATATGCAATAGTAATGGACTTTTTTTGGATAGAACAAAGAAAAGGAGCGTGTATTTGTTGCATGGGCCAGCAGACTCTGATCTTGCAGCGCAGAGAAGCAGAACGGATGGAGATGGGCCGTCCTGCCGAAAAGAATCAACACAGGCGGGCCTTTGGCAACATCTCTGCTTCCGTGCTTCGGTCGCATACGCCTCTCCTCTGAAAACCCTTCTATCGCCTCTCCGCCGCCGCGCCGCCACTTCCCCTCTCCCGTCAACTTCGGCTTCCGCGCGAGATCGAGCTAGCGTTGGGGGTTCTCGAGACCGGCTGCGATGGCGACCGAGCAAGCGGCGGAGAACTACACGGTGGAGGACCTCGTGGCCCTGAACCCCTACAACCCCGACATCCTCAACGACCTCGAGAAGTTCGTCAACGAGCAGGTAAACCCTAACCACCGGGATGCTTTCTCTGCTGGTTTTGCTCGTGAGGTTTTTAGATTCCGTTTTTGTGGTCCTTGTAAATAGCGCGTTCTTATGTTTGCGTTTGAACGGTGGCGAAATCGTGGGGGTGGTCAGATGCTAGATTAACGGCAGCTTTAGTTTCTATCTTTGTATTTCGATGATACTGGAAAATTATGGATATTCGATACCTTTGCAGGCGCCTCGAAGTGTATATGTCTGCTAGGGACTGCTGAATTTAGCGGCTCTTTTGAGCATGGTGCTCAAGTGTGTTTATCATAAGTGTTCAGTAGGAGTTCCTAGAAGATAGAGTAACCTTGTAGGTGTACTATTTAGGGGTTCTGTGGTGAGTGAAAAGGAATACTATTCTGATGATCATAATAGGCAGGTTTGGAATACCATTGCTGTTATAAGATGTTTTCAGTTTCTATGATATGAGGCAAATGGTATTGCTGTTGCAAAATGAAATATTTAGTGGATGGTACCCATAAAGTGAACCTCTTCAATCAATTCATTGACTGACAATTTTCGTTTAGGTTATAAGAACACTCATGCATTGTATTTTGGACTTTTTGCCACATTAGTTTTGCCTAATGTTTTGATCCTTTTCTTTTTGTCCTGTGTAGGTCTCGTCTCAAACATATAACTTGGATGCAAATCTCAGCCTTCTTCGCCTGTACCAGGTAACAATGAATCTCCAGGGACATCATTTTTACATGTATTGTGGCTCCATTCATATGTTTTCTTAGTTACTGGTTTCCTTTTGCAGTTTGAGCCAGAAAGGATGAGCATACAGATTGTGGCCCACATACTGATTAAGGTTGGAACATTTAATGGCTACATTGGTTTCATTGATCGGTAGCATATCTGAGTTCACTTCTGACTATTTTTGGCTTTGCCCATGATGTTCTGTTTACAGGCGCTCATGGCAATGCCGGCCCCTGACTTCAGTCTGTGCTTATTCTTAATCCCTGAACATGTGGTATGAAAAATTACATCCTGCCCTTTTAGTTGAATAGTATCAGATCTGTTGTGTAGATCTGGAATACACGGTATTTAAATATGGCTCATGCTTGATGAATGTGCAAAGTATCAGATATTTATAGATATTTGGTAAACACGCCCCCGCACCCATGTTTGAATATATATTGTGCTTTGTGAGTTTGAAATTTTGCATGAAACAGACTAGTCTTGCAAATGTCACAGATGCAGAGATTCCATACAAGAGCTGTCCTGTTGCCTTCACATTTTTTGGCTACATTATTTTGTTAGTGTGTTGAGTTCACTTGTCTGTGTCTTTGTTTCAGCAAATGGAGGAGCAATTCAAGACATTGATAGTTCTTTCTCACTACCTAGAGGTACATACTTGATCTAACTTATGTACACAAGTTAAAACTAGCGAGGAATCTATAGCTAACGTAAGTATTTTGCTTAAAAGACTGCTAGGTTCAGTCAGTTTTGGGATGAAGCAGCAAAGAACCGCCACATATTGGAAGCAGTTCCAGGTAAATATATTTCTTGAGCCATCGAGTCTGAGATATGCATAGTCTGTTACATATTGTAATGTGAGGTTGGCGCATCAATCTGAGTCTTAATGCCCAGAGCAATTCTTATATGAATGTTAAAGTTTTAATGTTCACACTGGATTCCTAGTAGAAATTTGAAATGATGTTCCAGTCTTCAGACTTGGGTGCAAGTGCTTTTTGTCATTGGGGTTGACTGAAGTGTTACATTGCGCATTTGTGCCCAAGTTAACTATTTTGTGTACCTCCCTTGTTCTGTCACCTAGTGTTTGATATCTTCTATTCTCCTAATCATTAAGTTTTCTTATGTTAACGCTCATTTTACCTTGGTTCTCTCAATGGGATGGGAAGAATGCCTGAGGGCTAGAATTTTCTGTGGATTTATTCAAACATAATCAGCATCTGGATGATATTTTGGGCCAGGTGATATGCATTTTAACCTATGTCTTTATTGTCGTGACTCTACATGTGCAGGTTTTGAACAGGCAATCCAATCCTATGCGATTCATGTACTTTCCTTGACATACCAGAAAGTTCCAAGGCCTATTCTTGCAGAGGTAAGACATATTCCCTGTTTAATTAATGTTCAAGTTCTTCAGTAAGTGCTGATGCCACATGAGCTTGTTTTTTATATTCATATGACTGGTAATCTTAGAAGCATATTAGACGATAGGTGGGAGTATGCTTTATGTCAACTGTACCATAATCATTAATTCATGGTCATCCAGATTTGTGCTAGGTTTCCTTGGGGTATGCTACATGGATAGTTTCTTCTTGATATTAACACACCACTTCTCTTTACAGGCAATCAACATTGAAGGTCTCGCGTTGGACAAGTTTCTTGAGTACCATGCCGCAAACTCAGGTTGGGTGATTGAGAAGGGTGGGCAGTCTCAAGTGATTGTTCTTCCGCGCAATGAGTTCAATCACCCAGAGCTCAAGAAGAACACAGCTGATATCGTTCCATTTGAGCACGTAACACGCATATTCCCTGTCCTTAGCTGATTCAGGCGTGCTGAGAGATGCATATAAAACTCAGAGCGAGTGAAGCTTCTCTAAGCAATTGTATCGTCTGTTTTGTAGTGTGGCGTATTTTGAGATTTCGAGATTATCTCGGTATACCTGTTCTTTTTTATGGCCGAATTGGTACCTGCAACTTATGGTTATCACTACTCTAACGAAATGATCAGTTTTGAGATTGGCCTGCCCTAAATCCTAATGTTTGCAAGGCTGCTGAACTGCTGATATTTCTGAGAAGACAGATCCTTTAAAAGCGGAAGATCCATTGTTTGAGAATGTGTGTTGGGAATGCTAAATTAGGTTGGTGCAA